AGATCCCATACTGGTACAAACAAAGCAAGGCTGGAAACCAGCTGAAAGAAATGAGATGAAGGTCCACGGTCACATGTTGTTGGAGCGGGAGACAAACACGACTGTACCGTAGAAATCGGGTCAGACTCATGTTAACCAAAGAAAAGCCCCATACGAACAACAGACAAACACACAAATGAATGAAATACATAGGCCTGCACACGAAACACATACCCCGGGGCAACAGATCTCATCCATGCGTAAATTTAGAGTGAGAAGGGAAATCAACCGGGCCAAAGTGGCTAGAAGGTTTTTAAACTTAAAACAAGTGTTTCAACAGTAATGATATTGTTGTAGTGAAACAATGGGTTGTAAAGTGTTAGTTTTAAACTTTAAAAAAATAAAATAAAAAGAAAAAAAAATGTTATATTTGTAAATGCCGAAGGACATACAATGTGTATCAATCTTTATTTCACTCGTTTTTTAAATAACAAATGCCGAAATCAAGGAGGCAAGCCTGTAAACTGATTCTATATGAATTACTATTAAATGATCTGGGATATATATAAATGGTTAGAATTGAATAGTTCAATAATTAATCCAGAAAGAGAAAGTTTTAATGATGTGATACAACTATGTATGCTGCCCTCTTGCTGAATAAAGGTTGTTTATTGATGGACGACTCTTCTGAGTAGCGATAATAATAATAATAATAATAATAATAATAATAATAATAATAATAATAATAATAATAATAAAAATAATATAAATAATAATAATAATAATAAAAATAATAATAATAATAATAATAATAATAATAATAATAATAATAATAATAATACTATTATTATCATTGTCATCATTATCATTATCATCACCATCATCATAATCATCACCATACTCTACATCATGAACGATATGTTTCGTGTTAGGGGCATTGTGGTCACCCAAAGCATGTATTACATTCATGAATTGTTATGAAAAGCCTACTGTACATTAAAACTTTTACTATTGTACATTATTATTATTAGTAGTAGTATTAATATTATTATATTGCTATAATAATAAAAATAATGTACATAAAAATAATGACAGCGAAAATAATAGCACTAATAATAATAATAATAACAATTACAATAATAATAATAATAATAATAATAATAATAATAATAATAATAATAATAATAATAATAATAATAATAATAATTATTATTATTATTAATACTACTACTACTACTACTACTACTACTACTACTACTACTACTACTACTACTACTACTACTACTACTACTACTACTACTACTACTACTACTACTATACTAACATTTTTAATTGCTATAAAAGTAGTTTCTGATGTGGTTGTGGTCAGACGAGCGGGGTTCAAACATAAAAGTGCAGAAGATAGTGTTCTCATATTAATTACATCATAACTTGGTTGAATTGATGCCAATCTTCTATATTAATAATAAGCTACAAGTATTTTAAAAATATCATTAATTTTAATTTAGAGTATATGAAATACAGAATAGATAAATGATTCAGTATTCGTTTTCTTGTTATTAGTTGCCATTAAATAGCATAATGAAATAATGTTGCCATTAAATAGCATAATGAAATAATTTCTGATGTGGTTGTGGTTAGACGAGCGGGGTTCAAACATGAAAGTGCAGAAGATAGTGTTCTCATATTAATTACATCATAACTTGGTTGAATTGATGTCAATCTTCTATATTAATAATAAGCTACAAGTATTTTAAAAATATCATTAATTTTAATTTAGAGTATATGAAATACAAAATAGATAAATGATTCAGTATTCGTTTTCTTGTTATTAGTTGCCATTAAATAGCATAATGAAATAATGTAATTAACAATTTCGCTGATATACTATTATTAATAGGCCTATGTTATTATATTAATATTATAGGCCTATGTTATTAATGTTATTGTTCGAGTTTATTCGAAATGTTTTGCGTATGTTGTACCCACGTACCTGACGTGTTATCGCACTGAATAATCAGTATGTCTCCAAATTCTTGTGGAAAAGGTGATTCGGGGGAGAATGTCACTGTAGCGGGGCACACATTTCACAGGCAGTTGTCGGCCGACGTGACTCCATAGAGAGTGCAACACAACGCGGTGCGCGCAACGGAACGGACCGTTTTAATTTTAATTTAATTGCATCAACACTACTGATCCTACTAATTCTTTTTCAAATTATCGTTAAATGCTAGAAGTATGATTTAAAAAATTGATAAAATTCGTACTTTCATCACCTCCCTGAGCAACAAATTTTCTGTTATTGCCATAACAGAATCTTGGATAAAAGACTCAACTGATATTAATCTAATGAATATTCCTACCTATAATTTTATACAAAAAAATCGCTCCTATAGAGGTGGCGGAGGGGTTGCAATGTACGTCTCAAACAATGTTACGTTTACGTATCGAGGCGACCACTCAAATCTTGTTGAAGCAGAATCTACTTTTATTGATATTGAAACTGATCTTGGTGAAAATATTATCTATAGTGCTATTTATCGCACTGATGAAAATCCATAAATTATTTTTGATAACCAATTTTCGTCTATTATGCGTAAAATTAACTCTTAAAATAAAATGTCATACCCAAGAGGGCAACTATATTATCAACCTGTTAAAATATGGTAACACCACAACGGATCATTATTGATAATTTATTTGTACACTATTTTCAATCTGTTATAACCAAACCGACCAGAATAGTTCCTGGGAAGTCGGCTACTTTAATTGACAACATTTATTGTAATGTACAAACCTGTAAATCGCCAATGTCAAGTGGCATCTTCATTTAAGACATATCTGACCACTGTCCTATATTAAGTAATGTTTCAAAACATTGCTCGCGAAACGTACGCTCGCTCACAGCGTACGTAATTGAATGCTGGTTGGTCATTTCGTCACCCGAAGTCAATGCAAGCCCCCCTTTCCCCTTCCCGAAACGATTAAAGCCCGGCTTAGAAAAGTTAAACCCGGTGGCGCTCCAGGCCTAGTTAATATAGGAACACAGCCCGGCTTGAGTTAAGCCACCTAGTTCAGACTGGCAGGTGGATAAACCCGGTTAGTTGAGCCGGGTTTATCCTCCTAGTCTGAACTAGGCCTAAGTCTATTTTACTCGTATTCTACGTCTCCATAAATCATGATGAAGATTTTAAGGGGTCACAAAGCCATGTCCTGACAAGAACTGATTAACACAAATTACAAGTAATAATATGATGCGAATGCACCCACCCTACTGTTCTTGTCATGGCTGCACCAACTTGTCAGATTTACTGATTTAATATAGATAGCTTGTGGGAATAAATCCTCCTCCAAAGGTTTCAAGTAAAACTCTTGAAAAGTTTTCTCCCCTTGCCATGGGGGCGGGGGGGGGGGGGGGGGGGGGGGGGGGGGGGGGGGGGGCGTTTCCCTCGACGAGGGGTCAGATTTTCCCGACGAAAGATTTAAAGGTTCCGAAAGTGGTCCAGGGGGCGAAGGCCCCGAAAATTTTGGAAATTTAGGGGTTTCAAAGGCTTATTTAATTGATTTTAGAGTCTACTAATATGTAGAAAATACATATAATTTTTTTTCTCCCGACGAATTGTGCCTTTTCTCCCCGATGGGCTCTCCCCAAAGGGGGACCTGCCCACCCCCACCCGCTGGCGCCACCCCTGTTTAGTTGCCTTTTGGTGGGCTTCTTGTATGTCAAAAACAGGCACCCTTCGGTTTCTCTCATTTCCTGTGTCCTATGCACATAATGTTTCATATAATGTACGATCGTTTGTCTGTAGGGTATGATTTGAATGTGAGGGTAATACCGACTCTTCCGGGCCTGTTGTGCTTCGTAAAGTGTTAATAGCAATATTCACTCGGTCCTTAGATATATGTAGGTTATCCAAAGATATTATTGATCTTGATGAATCGTTGTTTTTCTATGTTTCAAATATTTGTAAATAGACCTATATTCCTAATGTTTTTATATTTGTAAATTTTAATAATTTTATATTGTAACCATTTGTTATAATTCAGTTTTTAACTGCGACGCATTTTGGAATAAACCTTGATGAATGAATGAATGAATGTATGATATTTGATGGAGTGTTTGAACCCGTTGAGCAGATACTAGAGCCAACAACAAACTTTATAAGTCAAATCTCTTATTGAGAGCTTATGAGTTGGAGTTTTGTTTCCTAAGAAAATTTAAGTATCTGCTAATCAACGGATGTAATCCTATTGAATGTTTATTGTCATTCAGTGTTACAACTGATGCCAAGTTAACAACAGTATAACTTGCATTTTCCTTGTTGAGAAAAGAAACATTTTAAGAAAAGCAAATATTTGCTCGACTTTTGTATGGTTCCATATCCAATTATGCTCCAAACAATATCATTACTCATAGGTGCTCAAGTAATGGGAGTATCTAACACAATTAGGTTTTGTATACCTTTTTCATTTTTTTTCTCTGACCATTCTGTAATATTACTGTGTTATTGAATATCTTGAAGAAATGGAATAAAGAATTGAATTGAAATCAGCAGACGGCGTCGCATCGTAAAGCGCCCGAAGAGAGCGGAGACGGATTAGTCGGCCGACAGTTGCACGACGCAGTGCGTGTCCGAAATCAGTAGCATTGTAAACACTGCAATAGGCCTATAATTTTTCTTTGGGACGGGCCAGTGCCGTATCCAAGGGGGGGGGGGGCGTGCTCCCCCCACAAAAAGCTCGCCAAATCGTCAATATGGTGACGGCTGCAGCCACGCAAGAAGATAATAATTGCAATAGCAATAGTAATCAATAACAATACTATTATAATGTTAATTTTAACAAGAATTACAACATTTTAACAGATACAGCTTGAATTTACTGTATTTAAACAGATATTTAGTACTTATCTATTTAAACGTCAATTATTATTGTCTTTTCTTCAGCCTCGGCTTTATCGCCCTACATTCTCGGATATCACGTTTCCGGTTGTCTGACGCGTCTGTTATTGTCCATTATGACACAATGATCGATGGATGGATTTTATCACTTGCCGTTGATTTTGCTGGTACATTCATTTTGTTTTTATAAGAACACATTGCTTAAAAATTAAGAACAAAATAATAACAAATTCAGGCTGAGGTAAGATGTCGAATGAGGTTTGTATTTAAAAAATAATGGAAAAAACTTATCTGACAATACAATACCCTCTATAATACAGTACAGTAGGTCTAATATACGTTTGTAAAATTATAATTTTCTATGTTTGAAAAGTGTATAAAAGTAAGAACAAAGTAAGAACATTTTGAGACTGAAATCAGCAAAAAAATGAGAACACTGAGCATGGGCAATATTTTTCTGGTTCTTATCAAAAACAAGTGTAGGGAACAATACTGATATAACTTCACTTCTGATTAGTAGTAGTCTTGATATTACGTGCTGATTAAGAGCTAAATTTTAGCATCTCATTATCAATTATATATTTCATTAAACTAAATTGAGTAATAATGGAATTTGAAACTAAATTGAGTAATAATTGAATTTGAATCTTTGACCAAAATGTTAATTGACTTGAGACGTGTACCGTACCTATTCAAATTTCATTAACAACTATGAACTCAATATATTGTGGATTATAATATTTTCTTTTCATTCAGTATTAAAAATTCAGTCGTGAATGAATAGCATGCAAAAAAGTAGGCCCTGCTTTGTGAATTATCAGTTATAATCAGTAATCAGTTATAATTTAATAATGTCTTAAACGTTGTTTATTTACTTCTGTAATAAAAGATAAAATGTAAAGGTAAATTTGTAAGCCGTTATCCTGAATCAAGGTAAGCCTACAGAAACAAAACAGTCCTTTAATGTAGTTGATGCAATAGAACCAATCCTTTGGGACACTCCTATTAAGCGGACACTTTTTTGGCCACGAAATGAAGGAAATTATAAAAAAATTTTTAACACTACCACCAAATTCAGGGGACATTTATTTTGGTCCCAAATGTATCCCCTTAATACGGTCTGTATTATTTTGAACATGCATAAGTTAAGGGAGTTTCATGATACACAAAATAGAAGACAAATCCTGAAATAATAGGCATAAAAAATTGCATTTCAAATCAAATGCTAGGCCCTATTTGTACTTTGTTTTCAATTATGGATTTAAAATATCTTTATGATATTGTTATTTAAAAGGGGGAACTGTTTACTGGCACAACAGAGAAGCGTTAGAGATACGAGCATCTGATCTTGACTTTGGGAATGTTCGCCATCTTGTCAATATGGGTGAACGCGGCCACGCCAAGACTCGTGGTTTAGCCGTGTATGAATCTAGTATATACTGGGTAACCGTAATGGCCAGTATTTTTCGGGCTGACAAGGTTACTGGAGACAATATAGAAGCAGTGAGTGACAGAGTGTTCGAAAATCCATTTGGACTTTTCATATATAACGGTACGATATCTTGATTGTTATTTTCAATTAATAACTTTTATTGCCATAATGCCATTTCAAACTGAAATACTGTAAATGAAACGAAAATGAGTAGCACAATTAACAATACAATACTTTGTTCCCGACCACTAGCGTTGTTGCGTTGACAATTTTGTTTGTAAATTTGTCAATTCTACTTAAACAGTAGTTAAAAATTTATTTCATGAACTTACCAAAGGAGTAGAGGCCAAGGTAAACAAATGGATTACTGGCACTACAAAACATGGGTTTTCTTAAAGCATTCGAAGGCAGTTATTATAACAAACTCCAAGGGATTGAACCGGTTTGAATTAAAATATGGTCAAAGGTACAACCAATGCATATTGATGCAAAACTAAAACGTCTACGTTCCACTGACACATTACGATACATACTGGCGCATTATATCGTCATCATTGTTAAAATTATCAGAAATTATATGACCAAGATAAGTGAATTGTTTTACACTCAATGGGTTTTGTCAGTAACGTTGTATTTGGGTTTCCTGTCAGTTTCCTGGTTTTGGGACTGAGCATCTTTCTCACAAATGGTTTTTATATTTGATGTTTATTCATAATTTTATGCACTAAGCTTCCATGTGATATTATTTGAGAATCAGTGCTAACAATAACTATACGGTAGGTGATACAGTGGTATAGTTTTTTTTGTCGTAGTGTATTGTTTTTTATATATGGTTATTTATAATTTTCAGATCCAGAAACAGAAACAAGCGCCGAGTGTATTACACCCACAGCATTTCTCGGTAGGGATGCTACACTGCATTTAATAACGATTGTCTAATAAACTGGATATGTGGTAGTCTACCTTCTATCAGTGTAAGGGTTTTTACGAGGGCGTTTATTCGAGGGAGGTGTTTATTTACTTATTTTTTGGAAGTGGGAAATACTGTAAATACGTATATACTCAAATAAACGCCCCTTAATTTTGCTGTAAATGTGGAACTACAACACATAGGCCTAATACCGTCAAAATGTGTTATTGAGAAAAAAATGTAATTCTACTTGAGTACAGCATTATTAAAGTATGTTAAGAATGATGTTGCTTTCCATTAGTTTTGTTTACAATCATTTAAAGGGGCATTTATTGGATGGAGGCGTTTATTCCAAATGAAACTCTGTAGATCCGTTTATACATGGAGACGTTTATTAAAAAATAGGGCGTTTATTCGAGTAAAAAATTAATTATGATATTATTATTAGCTAATGTTAGGTAATGTTTTATCCCTAAGGTATTAAGCATATTCATTCTCTTTTTCAGATCCAACAACTGACGTAACAACGACAATAGCGACAACGACAGATACACCTACATGTAGGCCTTTTAGTAACTTATTTCCATACGTAATAATAATCTATCGGTGGATACATTTTACCAAAAAGGAATGACCCTGTAGATTAATTAAAATAATTATCTTTGCAGGAATTTACATTCTTCTAACGTTCCAACCCATCATTTCAGTGTATTATTGATATAAATCATGCATATTATTATGATTATTGTTGTCATCATTATCATCATACTATAGTAGTGGTGTAGTGGTGGTGGTACAGTTACTAGTGGTCGTCGTATTGTTCGGACCAAGCTAGCACTGGAATATATAACCTGTCCAGCATCAAAAGGGCATCATTATTAATACCTTTAATTTTACTTAATCTTAATTTTTAGACAGTACAAATAAGAGAGGCAGTTGCGTATCGACCAACAACGCTCAAGGTATAGTTATAACATTTAATTATTCCTCACTATATTCCAATGTACCGTACCACACACGTGTGTTTTCATTTGCGATCGGTTGCCTACAATTTTGTTTACTATTGTTAATAGGAGTCATATCTCAAACCCAATACAAATAACTAAACCGGAATGGCCCAATTTCCAACATCATGAACATACGATCAGAGGCACACACAATGGAATCTTTTCTTTATCCTCCAAAAATGTATCCTAAAACGGAGATCTGTTTATATACAGTTAGCCCTTTGCTCCGAAAACTCTTTTAGCCAACCCATCGTCTAGAATAGGTCAATCTTCTAATGCTTTTTAATTATCCCAATTTAATTCAAACAATAATATATATCACATAATTGTAGCAGCATTTTGCTACAATGATAATAAAATATATATCGATACTAATAATAATGTTTATATTTTATATTATTAGTTACCCGAGGCTACTTCAGGAAGCTTTTCAACTCCAGTGGTCAGGAAATTTGCCTATTGGATCAGAGAATTAATTCCATCGATAGCTTAGAATTTAGAAGTACCAGTACCTGTGCCATTAAATGCTTGCACAGTTCAATTTGCGAAGGCTTTGTCGTAAACGATCATGCAGACAACAAGTTCTGTTCTCTGTTAGATCAAAACACACTTGAAACGAACGTCATCATAAAAGGTTGCATCACGTATAGAAAAGTTTTGATAGTCTAATGAAAGGAAATGTTTTGAAAATCTTTTTTATTTCCCCTTTTTTCCCTGAAGTTAATGTTAGTCCGTAAAACTGTACACATTTAAACAGCAGGTAGGTATTAATTTGGAGTTATTAGGCAGTTTTCGCCGCACGACGGTAACGTTAACGGATGACGTCATAATTTTGTCATCTTGCGTTGTTGCGGAGTACGTTAATTTCAGGATTTTACGTGCTTGACGTTCGTTAGTTACCTGTTTGCGTATGCGTATTTCGATTTGTTTACAAAGGGGCGGAGCAGGGCAGAGCTATCGCGCTGCATGCTGGGTACTAAGGTTAAAGTTAAGGTTAACGTCGTGCAGCGAAAACTACCTAATATAAATGTTGACCACTTTGCTAGGGAGTCAAAGAGACGAAAATCCTAATGTTGGAGAATTTTAGTTTATAAGCTTATAATATAATATTATTACCAAGATAACCATATTATTGTTGTGGTAATTAAATTGATTTATTCATTTATATTTTAATTTATTACAAATGCAACACATATACCGTGTTAAGAGGAAACCATGGACTAATGGCCCAACACAAATGTGGAATCCTGTATACCTCTGGTATTCAAACTTTTTGTTTAACCCGATCACGCTACCTCGGCGACCCAGTCTACACACCGAACATCACAAATTTTCCTCTTGGTTTTTTTTTTGTCTTAAAAAGTTAAATTTATAAGAATTAGATGAGTTACTGTACCGTAAAACAATTCGCGGAAGAGGAGTGTCCAAAATATTTGTACTAATATGAGAATAATTAGAAGGCTGGTGTTCTCCATCGGCAATTGATTTTATAGGCCCTATGGTTTATTTATTTATATGCACTCAAGATTCTTTACACTCGCATATTCATCTGAAAAAGTTACCAACAACGATGGAGTGACGGTGCTCTAAATGGCTGTGGGAAAACCATCACCAACCTGCTGATAGCTCTCTGTTTGAATAGTGATCGTATTAGAACGATAACTTGCAGCAACCGGCTTGGTCAACCTGTAAAAATTCATAACCTTCTGTTGATCTTAGATCAAACTTGTGAGCGTTCTGAGCACATTATAAAACATTTTCATCATATTGAAACAACTATAATATTGAAAACAAAGAACTTAAAACAAATTCGGTGTATAAATTCAAATTATTCACTATAGATTTTAGTGGTCCATTGTTATAACATTTTACGACCAATATTTGAAAGTGCGTACACACATGTAAAACAAAAAATGTTCAGTTATTATCTGTATAATATATTTGAATATCGTCTTAGACTGATTGACATGCAGTCACATGCTTAGTGATCTTCTAAACACTTAGAAACTTTTGAATCACACTTGGTCTGATTGTTGGAGGTGTTTTTTTTTACTTAATTGACGCATATATTATTTCCACAAAGATGCTAAAAAGTTTTGCTCTTGAAAAAAACATTAAGAGTTTAAAATCGGAGGACGAATACGACCATTTTAGAGTTTACGAGGATGTGAACAGACACATTGACATATCTGGTAATTACCTCAGCAGTTGTCATTCAGGTATAAATTAGTTGTTTTTAGGTTGATATAGTTAATCGTTTAGTTTAATTTGGCTTCACGACAAATAACTAAATAGGCCTATGACAAAAAAAATCTTTTTTTTGGTAAAAGCTAGTAAGAAACGGAGTACAGTACTTACTCAGGACTTTAATGACATTTTTTGAAGACAAATAACAACAAACTAAATTGGCTAGTCCCGGTCGGTCGAATATGATGCTGTTAAAAAATGTATGTATACGTAACAGTGCTATTGTTCGATCTTATCTGAACGGATCGAGTCTGAAGAAGATTGTGCTTTCAAAAGGTATGGCCAATAAATAGCTAGGCTCTTCTTCCATTAACGGACAAACTTCATTACTCAAAGCTCCTGTCCATCTAGCCCAACATGACTTATGCAACCAGTGCGCGAGAGTTTTGATGTGTGGCTTTTCTTTTTATTAAATTACCAAATATATCCACACAATCCACACTATCCCACTTTACATAACAAAGTAGGCCTATGTGATTGCTCATGTTTGGGCATCATGATGTCATATCATGGTCATAATGTGGGAAATACAAGTATTTATCACAGACTGTGGATAGAGCTACAAGGTTGCATCACTTTAGCCTACATTAACTATTTCAAATATGGGGTTAACGCCTGAATAAAATATACCAATATCTCACGGTATTAAGATATATAATAAGAGAACGTTGCAACGAATTAGCAATACCTGTCCACAACATATTGTTACATGTCGGCAATCAAATACTGTAGACCTAATAATCAAGCGTCTCAATAAACGAACCACACTGAATTGAAGTCTACAAAGGTGTTATGTTATCGTAAACAAACTATACGTTAAAGGAGTTTTTCATTAAAATACCTATAGGCATAAACCTAACAGTAAGGAATCTAAAAGGAACTAATCATGCGGTCTGATGCAAGCAAATTAAACTACTAAACTCAAACGCAAATACTGACACAACAATCAATGTTCCCATATGAATCAACCACGAAAACACTCAATACAGCAAATGCTATCAACAAGGTTTTCACACAACTTTCAAGGGACTGTTCTTAGTTTGACTACATGTTCTTCCTTCTTACCATATCCACGACCTGTACCTACTATTTATGAATGGGAAGTTTATGCAAAATTAAAGAACATTAGTATCAGGAAAGATGGAGGACCAGATTGCATCATTCCTGCGCGAATCATTAAAGAATTTGCATATGAAATGTGTACACCAATGACCAGTATAATAAATGCTTCTTTCCATGAGGAAATCGTAGCTGTCGACGGGTTGTTTTTTAGCTCCCATAGTTGACAATAACAATCTGGTTTTCTTTCCGGTAGCTCCAAGTTGTTTCATTAGTGCTTCAGAACAGAAAGAAACTGAACTTGACTCTAAAATCGATTAAATAAGCCTTTGAAACCCATAAATTGTCAAAACTTTTTGGTTCGGAACATTTTAAGCGACGCTTGACCACGCCTACTTTGCTCCCGCCAAGGAAAATCTTCCCCCTCGTCGGACCCCCACCCCCCTCACCTCGGGCAAGTCCTGGCGCCACCCCTGGTAAGAAAGAACATGAGAGCTAGAATAATAATAGTTATTCGGGTTTAAATAATGTTATTTAGACAGTGCATAATATGGACGTACGGTACGGATATGCTAACGTCTATACAACCAATATCAATTTATTTCAAAACATTATAATTGGGGGGGGGGGGGTGGAGGACGCAAAATTCTAATCTTTCCCCCAGGCGCCAAAACATCTACCTACGCCACTGTTCATCACATTGTGACAGGGAGGTTGCAGCATATTAGCATTAAGTGTCTACCTAATCTATATACAAAATTCCTATATCGTTATACACTAATAAGCCTACAGTATTTTCAACATGTCACAAATATATCATTTCTAAAACAAATGTACAAAAATTAGTAATTCCCTATTAACAAATCGATTTACTTCATTTATCCTACCTAAACAAATATCCTACCATATTTCAACACAAATATGACTATTAAAGTAAAGCATGGATACAGTAAATGCATAACGTTCACCACCACATTTATCCATGTGTTGGATTGGACTTGTTATGGTTTAAACACCAAATATAACCCACGAAAATCTGAAGAAGATTTATTTCCAGTGGTATCCTTCTGGTGGTGATTGAGCAGTACACCGGGAGACAATCCCCCTACTCTTTTCCGAATAGAGCGTTCTTTACTAACGTGCCCACAGGCAATAATAATAATGCACACAGGAGCAACGGCTTAAGCTTATCCGAAATACGGTTATCGTAACTTGCATTTTAGCTCTTCATGTGAAACACAAGGCCAGCAGCGATGGGAATTGAGCCGGGGACCTAAAGAGATCTCCATGGTTCATCGCACACTACCACCAGAAATACGGTAACCTAGGGATCTAGGCCCAGTCATAAATTTTCATAGAATTTTTTGTGTATTTTCATCTGTCATTAAGCCAATCTTTTAGTGGTCTATTTTTTCAAATCTAATCGCGATGTCTAACATATTAGAGAGTAAGTGAGCGCAACCTAGTTTGTGTAAACAAGATAGGTACGGTAGTATGTATTATCGACTAAGTAGTCCATATTTCTAATAGTTACGCTAACTACAGTTAAGAGTAAGACATGAATCTCCCGGAGAAATTTTTCCAAGACAGTAGAGTGGAATGTTTTTTTCCACGTAGAGATTTTGTCATCTAATAGCCTTTTCATACATTTTATTTTAGCCTATGCAATTATATTTGGGAGATGGTTCATATCAAGACCATTTTCACTTTTTTGGCCAATCATTGTTAAACTCCTAACTTTTTCTTTCTTTCCCCATAGAAATTTAAGGAGAAGGCTTTCAATCCTTTTTAGTACAAGATCTGGAGTGTCAAGCGTCATTATTGGAAATAACATTCGCGATATAAGAATGAACTTAATAATATAAATTTTCCCGATCATAGTGAGATTTCGTTTTGTACATAAATTAATTATGTATTGCATTTTTTCATGTATTTGCAAATTTTCCCAGTCATCTTTAATGAGTTCTGCAGGAATATACATTAAAAACAATTCATAGAGCTTTAAATTTTCAGTTTTTTCAATTTATATCGTCGATTTTGTATTTCCTATTTTTGTAACTTCCATTCCATTGTTCTTCTGCTTTATTTATTTTAAATTTCATTCCTGGTATACCCGTGGTGAAGTCATCAATTAACTTTAAAGATGTGTTGATGGACAACTGTATATACATTACTTAATTACAACCTATAAATTAGATTGCCAGGAAAATTCTTTACCCATAAGCTTATAACTGTGTCCATCGTTGCTGGGAATTTGTAGCGATGGGAAGGAATAATATATTCACCTTGTTTGATGGTTTGTGAATTTTCGCTGTTCCCTTTAACCATAGGGAAAATAGAACATTTTCTCTATGCTTTAAACCTGTGTTGGTTTCTAGTAGTTCCTCTGCGCTCTTCCCATCGCAACAAATTCCCTAGCAACGATGGACACAGTTATAAGCCTATAGGTAAAGTATTTTCCTGGCAATCTAATATATAGGTTGTAATTAGTAGAACCAACATCTACACACGATAGCCCTTAATTTCTTCTAAATACTACAACTGGTCTCCTTATTGGCTATTGATTGTTCTGTTATCTTCAATCACGGCTTGGTTAATATGACGTTCATAGATATTAAAGTATACAACTAGAAAAATTGACGTCTATTGTCACGTGTTTGTAGTCAAGTGTTTCAATTATGTTTATCTCGTGAAATTGGCTAGTAATATGCAAGTGGATATAGCTTCACTTTCGTTTACTTTATCCTTAATTTCGTTTGTTTAAAAGACCAAACTATTAATAGATATATCTCTAGATCCCATATAATCATAGAATATCTAAAATCGCGTGTGGGCTAAACTTATTAAACAACAACAATATAAAACACAAAAAAGACAAAAACACCACTACGTTATGTAATCGTCGTATAACAGACGGCGCATATTTAGCAGTAGAGTATTATTGCAATTTTTTTTGTAGCGTGAATTCTAGTTACAGCATCTTTGCTTCCATCCATTAAAAATGACTTAAAAATAGAACGACTGTGTAGCTAAACATGTAAAATTAATAAATATGTTTAAAATTATACCGTATATCAAATTGCTGACTTTTAAAGTTTAAATTCAAAATTAGAATAGGAAATGTGTTTGTTTAATTAACAAACGCATAACTGCTACAGATCTTATATAGACTGTACAAATAGATAAGCAAGCAGTCAAGCAATAAAATTAAAGTAATTAAATTTAAAGAATATTTTTTTTCATTTATAAGAAAACATCTTTTCTCATCATAGGGCCTAAGTTACTGTTGATTGTATTCCTTTTTGTAAGACTTACATAGACTTTTTTTAAAAATAGATAATGATAAAAATTATAAAAACACATCCAGATTGTTTTATCATTTTTAGTTGTTTTCATGGCTAAATATTTTTTAAGCTTATGTGTTATGGTTGATTTTTCTTTGGAATAAGTAAGTTGATTTCAAAAATTGATTTTTATATATTTTGCTTTGCTACACTTCATGAGACAATACATATTTAATTGTTTTGATATTATTCAGGGCACGCTTGCTACAAGAGTGTCATGTGAAATTCTCTTCACTTGCCGTTACTTTTTGGGCACTGCCCTCTTTCACTTATTCAATTTTGTGTACAGTATTTTAATATTTCTTGCTTTTTTATGATGTATTTTTTTTATGTATGATGGGCTTTTTAATTTTTACATATTGATTTTATTGTTTGATTGATTTGATTTGGAAGAAGTTTATTTGAGTGACTGATTAATTGATTGAGACTCCTTTTTTAAATTTTGTAGTCCGGAACTTTGGAATGAACTAAAAATTAAATCATTAGCTGCCAAAATTTAAAAAATATCTATATTGTTATGCTGATGAACAAAATTAAAGTCTCTATATTGTTCTTTTATTTTTTTATCTATATTTATTTATAGTTTTCTGTAAAAGGATGATTTTTTAACTTCTAATGTTGATTCCTATCGTAATTTACACTTTTTTAATATTGTACACTTGCTATAACGATTTGAATAAATTTATACCTAATATAAGGAAATCGCATAATTATATTCACTAATTGTGCAGATTAGATCGATAAATAATATACGCACGTCTTCACCACTAAATTAGCACGACGTTCGTATAGCGAGGGACCTAACTGGCTGTAAGTACTATACTTATCGGTTGCGCTGATATTTGTTAAATAAATAATACACAAACTTAGCCTACATACTCATCGTTTGCACAGTTGGACTATATAACTGATTTAAGGGATGTACGTGTGCGACTTCCTCTATGATTAAATATTTGTATGAGGCAAGTGTGCTTCAGCATTTTCATCTACATATTCTTCATTTGGAAACGACACTTTTACAACAGCAGCACATAACGGGAAGTCCAAGGTGCTTGTATCTTACTAAAAGGAAGGAATTCAGTGCTCTGGGGACGAATATCGTTTACGAGGAAAATGTCCGGACAAGTAACACAATATGGGTGTGAACAAGTACTGATATATCTTATCGTCTACCTTCTGATCCGAAATTGTTATGCAGGTAATATAACTAAATTATTCAATTATTATGTTGGTAGTTCATTTCTTTAACGCATACTCTAGTTTCTAGTTTCCGTTTACAGGCCTACATAAACACAATTTAACTACACAAGCACTGACATACACTTACAATTGTAAATGGGCTAAATATGACATACACTCGTACGTACTGTGAATGGATTTTTTTTTTAAAGTTTTTAAAACTTTTTAAAATAATCATTTTATCACTGTTGTATAAACTGTAAATTGGTCCATTGTTTATGATTAAAAAAAACCCAATATTTATTTTATGTTCTGCTATGGCAGAGAATAGGCCTATATCATTTATCTACATAATTTTACATCTACACGTTCTCATTTTGGTGTACCTCTTTTTTGAAAATTTCAATAGACCTAATTATATAACTTCACATATCGCAATAGCATGTCTGACAATGCTATTAACTATCTATTCTAACTTTAATTTTCATTTACAATCAGATCTCCCTGCTAATTCGTATTACACTAAAACGATAATTATAAATGTTCGTATTTATTGGATAGGCCTAGGCCTATTTTTAAATTTTATTAATATAGGCCAACTTATTGTTATTGCTAACGTGATTTACTTTTATTGTTATTGTTACTATTATTGTTATTCCTATTTTTATTTCTATTTATTATTGTTGTTTATTTTGTTATTGTTACTAATAATAATTATGATATTGATAATAATTATTATAGTTATAAATTATTTTGATTATCGATGCTTCCAATTTTCACAGAGGATTTTGTGCTCGTAACAGATAGTCAATCAGATGCTATATTCAAATCCACTATACATACTGGCGCTTGCGGTGCATATCTTCAATTTTCTGCTATTACTTTTACTACACCACCCGATTATCCCGTCCCTGTCGATTATGATCCTGTTGAAGGACGTATATATTGGGGTGACATAAACCACCATCGTTTAGGAGAGGAAAGTAGGCCTAACATCATAAAAGCGCTTTGGATGATAATTCGTGTATGTTAAGCCAACGAATAATTAGAAATAAAGTAAACTTACTCAAAACGTTTCAAGACTAATCTAGTCTCCTTTTCAACTGATGTTGGTGTTGGGTTGAGTGGAAGATGTGTATAAGAGACAATTTACATGCAATTTAATAATAAAGTAAATAGTATTTTATATTACATATTATTTTATATTTTTTAAATATTATGTTTATGATTTATTACTGTAATTTGCTTTTTAAACAAATAACTATATTATCTCATTGTCTATTTTAAAAATTATTATTGATAATTTGTTATCAAAAACAGATAATTATTTAAATCTCACGACAGTAACTTTTGTAAGGAGTAGACACCTCCTCAATTGAAAATTAAATATGATTGTAATTTTAATATTATTATTTTTATTTCTTATTTTTTTAAATTTAATTCAGACTTAGTCGTTCGCGCGCTGTCGTTGGACACAATTAACCGGAAGATCTACTGGGTGGATACAGAAGAAGAGATAATATATGTGTCCAATTTAGATGGGTCCGATACTGTGAACTTTATGGACGATATGGATCGGGTTAGAGGCATTGTGGTCAACTCAAATTACAGGTAATTACAATCATAATTTTTTATGTAAAGCCTGTACATTACTGTACATTAAAACTTTTACTATTGTAACATACTCCAAGTATTGAAGTGCACACCATCGTTTTGGGATTCAATATTTCGACATTAATTATGTCATCGTTAGGAATGATAATGATTCCTGATGATTTGGATAATTTGGATGAGGATCTTTCCCTGATGATGGCATAACAAATATCTTATAATAGCAAGATAGCGTTCTCCGTGGACCGGTTTTCGTGTAATCGGAATAGAAGCGTACAATTCACTCAGAAAACGATAGAAAGTAATTGTAATTGAAAGAGGGCGTCCTAGTTGTTACTAATGGAGGTTGTTCCAAAATTTGCACTGAGATCATAGATGTCAAAATTCAAAAGTAATTGTAATTGCAAGAAGGCGTCCTATACTGCGTTATTACAAAATTTGTACGCAGAAATCGCGAAAAACTCTATCATGTTATTATATAATCTTTGTGACATAATTAATGTCGAAATATTGAATCCAAACATGATGGCGTACATTTCAATACTTTGGAGTATGTATCATACTTTCTTATTAAAACAATAATTAGGCCTAAGTAAAAATAATGGTAGCTATATTAATAATTTTAATAATATTAATATTCATAATTATCATCGTCATCATTATCATCATAATCACCACCACCATACTGTGCAGATCTATGGCCTGTTTAGGCATGCACGAGGGTCTTCGGTCCGCGAACTGCGATTTTGACACGCTAAGATTTCTATTAGGCTAGCTAAGGTTTACGAAAAATCACATAAATTTCCAAGCATACAAAACACAGAGAACAATCGTAGTGCCTTTCCTTGCCGTTTATTTCTCACGTTAACACTGGGTGGTTGTTTTCGCAAGGGGAATTTCCTCTCAGATAATTTTCTTGCCTTTCCACAGTTTTGCCGAAAAAATGAAAATTAATTGCTCCGATCGGTCTGTCTGTCATATCATGGTAACTGGCCATTTAAAAACAATGCATTTATACAAACCTTTTTACGTTTTAATAAAATATACTGAGCATATCAATAAAAATATGAAGCACATTAGAAGCGCTACCTCTTAATGTTGTGATTTTAAAAATTACAATTGTATCTCTAGTCTGCTATCGGAAAAAATATTTCCCTCCTAAAATTTTACCTTTCCCCTTACTTGCTAACCCCCTCCCCTCCCCAAGATTTCAGGCGCTGGCGACTCCACTGCAGCCCAGTGTCACCCATCGTAGCAAATTTGTACCTAGAGTTACCTGGAACAAAAGGCAATCGCTACAGCTCCGATCAAAGAGCTGACAACCTTCAATGTTGGCAGCATAAAATTTACGCATGAAACGGAAAGTGATGGTAACATACCTTTCATCGATACCTTGATCGTTCGGAGGCAAGATGGAACTGTTAAACTTATTGTTTACAGGAAAACATCTCACAAGGACCAGTATTTGAATTTTAATTCTCATCATCCATTGCATCAAACAATGGGAGTTATTCGCACATTACCGGAACGTATGAATAACATCGTCACTGAAAACGAGGATCGTTTAGGAGAGGAAAGTAGGCCTAACATCATAAAAGCGCTTTGGATGATAATTCGTGTATGTTAAGCCAACGAATAATTAGAAATAAAGTAAACTTACTCAAAACGTTTCAAGACTAATCTAGTCTCCTTTTCAACTGATGTTGGTGTTGGGTTGAGTGGACTAACTATGACGTCACAGAATTGGGACGTCGATCTCCGGGGCTGCGGGTCGGGATGCTGAGGATGTCATTGTATATGTTGGGGAGATCAACTCCCCCTTGGCCAGACGGTTAATTGTATTATGCCTTTTTCGTATTTATATCGCTTCTTTGATTAGCTAAACTTGTTTGTAGAGACATTAAACATCTTTATGGATTACATGATTATAAATATGAAATACTGTCTTAAATTATGCCCTCGTTTAGGCCATACAGGTGGCCTAGCCATTATACGCCTAGGGGCGAGGACCGTTCGGCCGCCAACAAGTTTGGCCTGCTACCAGGAACACACTTTGTACTGTATGTTTTCATTCATATGACAATCCATTCACAATTGCTGATATGTCACATAATCAAAATAATCTTCATTCAAGTTCATCGTAGAGTTAACCATCAATCATCAGGTCATCATTACCTGTAAAATCAAGAAAATGTCTTTAGATACATTCATAATATAAACAAGAAATATTCAAGTACAAAACCTATAACATATTTTAAGCTCAACATATTCTGAAAAAGAACATTAGCCTATTATGAAGCAAAAATACTCAATATTATATTCAATCAGTATTTTATTTTTATATCAGTGTAAAACTATAGTGTAAGAGCCTAACTCACAGCCTCTTTATATTTTTACTAAGGTAAGCATTTTAGACGAATATGAACAAAAAAGTGTACTCGATAGCATTGGTTTTGAATAGACGAAGACAATTAGCGACATCACACTCATTCGGTTGTTTTTTGTGTTTTTTTTTTCACAAAGACGCTATTGCAGTTGACAAAGAATTCAATTTTATTGATACTGCAGTGATAACAAGCGCTTTATCAGAAAATCATCCCATATTTGCAAGAAAAAAAATGCATCTGCTGTATTAAAAGTTAATGATGATCTGCTTTAAATTTTAATTGATTTTTTTGTTTTTGGGCAGACCAGGGAATAGTGAATTTACAGTGTAATTTCACTGTTCCCGGGGCAGACAATATATAGGAATAAACAAACTTACTAAAATAATCAAAATCAAAGATATAGTTTGGCTATTAGTATATTTTGGTATAGGCCTATTTAAAAGGGACCTCCAATAGCCTGGCCTGATATAACAGGCGTGTCTTTCCATCAACAGCTGTTCACACTCTTTTCCTGCATGTACAGTATATGAAACAGTATCGAAATTAAAAAGAATGGTTTGTCAAACTTTTATACCATGATTCGTTTTTTAGCATGCCTTAAATGAGATGCAAACCATCATTACAGGCTGCAACCAAGTGCATCACTAATGTCACACGTAAACATATTTCACAATTCACATAAGCTGAGACATCTAAACTGATTAGGGGCGGATCAGGGTTGAAATTCACGGGGGAGGGGGTCAAAATGTTTCCAAAAAACCGCAAAAAGAAAGGCGGGGGGGGGGGGCTTCTCCCCCGGGAAAATGTTGACTGCTAGATAGCGGGAAACGAGCGCTCGACTTCTGAATTGTCTTTAATGACTTTTAGGTTCTTCAAAATTCAAGGTTTTGTGCCCTCTTAAAAAAGGTCATATAAATTTTTCTCATTCTTATTACAATAAATGTCTATTATGTGTGTACTGAAATAGGTCTACATTCAAAAGATAAAAATGGGTACGGTAGTTGCATACGTATTGTTTTTTCCATGAATCGATGAGCCCCAAAAAGAACGGGGAGTCGAGAAAATGTTGATTCATAGATGGCGGAAAATTACCTTTCCCAACTTCTGAGGTTTTTTTTTAACGACTTTTAAGTCATTAAAATTTTAAGCTTTCCCCCTCTTGAAAACGATTCAATGAATCGATGAACAAAACCTGACTTCTGAATGTCTTTTTAATGACTTAAGTTCTTTAAAATTCAAGGTTTACCCCTCTTGAAAACGTTTTCTATATTCATGATCTGTCTCTTATACACATCTAGATGTGTATAAGAGACAGGTTGCATACCTAGGCATATTCTTTTTCCATGAATCGATGAACCTCAAAACGAAAGGGGTAGGGTGTCCTCCCCTGGGAAAATTTTGATTTTTAGATAGCGGGAACTGAGCTTTCCTGACTTATAATTTTCCCATTGTAACAAAAAAAAAATTCATCTCACGGGTCCTAAAAAAGTAGGGGGTCTAGATTTTTTTAAAATTATTTATGTGACCCACTGACACCTCCAGATTCGCTAATGTGTATAATTTCCAGATGAGAGTAACAAAAGCTATCGTGATTTTTATATTTCGATTTTCTTCATTCATATCAACATTTTTACCCAATTTATGTTCACACTAGTGCTTATCATCTTAACTGACGTTCTAAGAACGTTATAATAACGATTCAGTTCGGTGATAAAAACGTTATTTTGTAGAACCATATGTACGTACTTATAACCTAATTTCACAACCTCACAACAATTGAACGTTCAGGGCAGGATCCAGGATTTAAAAGAGAGGGTGCAACATGTTTTCCAAAAAACCCCAAAAGGAAATGGGGGTACTGGGGTCCTCCCCCGAGAAAATTTTGATTCCTAGATGGCCGGAAATGAGCTTTCCCGACTTCGGAGGAGTCTTTAAATGACCTTTAAGTTCTTCAAAATTCAAGGTTTTCCACCTCTTGAGAAAAGGCCAGGTAATTTTATCTCATTCTTAGACCTATCATAGAGGGGGGAAAATCAAGACAGGCAATATATTATTATATTACAACAACATTGAGTAGTTGGATATGTAGTCTCCTTCCATGGATCGATGAACTGAACAACCGATAGGCCTGAAGAACTCACTTTTGTACATAAATTATTACGACGGCGAACCAAGAACAGTGTATAATTTATTTAATTTAAAACTAGACGCAGGGTTCCTGGAACGCCGCCCTCAGCGGCGTGTGCGAAGCACAACAGTGAGGCAGAAGTGGAACGTGAAATTTCGATATGGTTTCGTAGTCAGATTTGCGAGAAAAATTTCAGCTAGGCCTACCCGTATTTCTCGACTGAGACGTCAATGGGAGCTGTAATTTGTATGGCAAGGAAATGGTGCTGATAATGTTTATGTTTATCTGACCCGAGGTCAGAGTTTTATTTATTCACGTGATCCTTTTTGGCGGGCCGGCTTTCGACGGTCATGGTCTCGGTGGGTGAAAGTGAATAAATAGTTGAGCAAAAGTTTTTCATATGATCTCTTTATTTATTATCTGTCAGGTGCTACCCTTAATTCGTATTAAGGGAATTTACGCCCACAAACCTTGTAGTTATTAAT